TCGAGAGCAAACCCATCGAAAATTCAATGCATCATGAGGTTGAACAACGCGATTCATAAGCAAGTTGGTATTTTCTGTTCGTCGGAAAACGTCAGCAGCTTTCCATGAGAAATTATTGTCTCTGGAACGGCCCCTCGGTGGAGGATGTGAGCTCCGCGAATCAATTTTCCACGCTGCCAGACACCTCAGATTCCGATTCCGATACTGAATGAAGTCCGCGAATCGACGTGGCCACTCCCTGTTTACTGTTTTATAATTATTATATTTCTCCTGTTCTGACTGATTGATTGCAGACAGTTTCCGCCTCAAATTAGTGACCAATGAGTTATAGGTACGCTGAAAATTTTTTTTCTCGAGTATAAGACGCACCCCCTCATCGAACACAATAAAATATGCAAAAAAATGCGCCTTATACGCGAGTAAATACAGTAACTACAACTTTACAAAGATAAGGGTCTTCCTTAACATGAAACACAAGTCTTTTCTGCCCCACTCAGTGGGACAGAGGATACTTGTGTCCTGGTCCTCTGCCTCACCTGGCCCATCGAATGAGACAAAGGATTGGAAGAGGTTAATGATGTGCCACAAAGACAAAACACATTCAGGTCATTGTTTCAAGCAGATTCTTTTTTCCTATGGAAAATAAAGTGAAAATGGTATTTTTGTACTTTTTAGTGCATAAAGTGATGAACTAGTAAATATATATTAAACTGCTACTTCTTGCCATTTCTATTATTATTAAAAAATTAAAGTTAGTTAGCATTAATTACTAAATTTAATTTTCTAAGTAAAATGTTGAAAGTTCAATCATGGTGATTGTTGGTTGCACATGTGAATTGTTATGCATGAGTTTCAAAGTTTCCATTGTAATCTTTAAGAATTGTTCAGGAACTATGCTAATCACTTCCTTTGAAGGAAGCCAATATTATCCATTTAGCCAATTGTGCAAGGGTCACCTCAAAATAGATGCCTCCTATTTTTTTTCTTAAAAGCCTTTTATTGTACTGAAACACAAATATAAAAGTTCATTCAACTTTTGAGATTGCTTAGTTATTCTTCCATGTTGTCTCCATCCCTTTCAATACATTCTTGCCAACATTGAATTGACCTTGTATGCACAATAAAAGGACTTCTCTGCCTCTTTCAACCAATTGTCAACTCCATGTTTTGCTGCATCATCATCTTCAAAATGTTTTACATGGAGACTCAGCCTCTTATAACTCTTATATCAACACATGATTTGCTATAAGCAGGAATTAAGCAATGGTGAATATCAGTTCATGCTATACTTTCTGCTGTGAGAAATAAAATCAAAGGTCTATGTTCAGTTTGCGTGTCATATACAGTTGTTCCTTTCAAAGACTGTTGGTTTTCTGCCCTTGGCAGCAAAACTTCATGCCATACAGTGGGACATTTGAATGTTACCAATGATTATCATTATCTAAATTTCTGCAAATCAAGATCTTTGATATAAAGGAGGCATCTCTTTTGAGGTGGTTCTCATATCTGGCAGAGGGTTCGTTGAAAGAAAGTTCTGTCTGGCCTTCCAGGAAATACTCTTCTGTATTCATGAAAATATGATCATGCAGATGTTATGTGTTGGGATGTGATGTTCGGGGAGATCCACTGTATGAAGAGACTTGGACAAACCAAACAATCCCAATGGAGCAGAACAGTAATGGGAAGCTGCATCTTGCTTCATGTTTCATGTTTCAAAATGCCAGCTCTCTACCTCCAACCCCTTCTAATCACTCAACTACCTGCCCGGTGACAGCCAACAGAAGTATCACTGTCCCCTGTAAGGATGGATTTGTCTATGACCGATCCATCTTCCAGTCCACTGTCATCACTGAGGTCCTACTCTCTCTCATTTTTGGCCATTTTTAGTTTCTTATTTCAGGTTACAACCTTTAAATTCTTTCACTCTCAACTTTTTTTCACTGTGGCTAGGATTATAATACTATAGTGCAGACTTAATGAATTTTGGGGTGTTTCATTTTTAGGTTATTCAGTAGTATCATCAGTTCATTCCATTTCTTCATGTGTGTGAAATTTCAGTGACCATATCATTGGCCTTTTGCCACTGTGTGGATGCATTATTTTGCATATCCTTTAACTTCAAGTTTTCTTCATTCCTTCTTCATCCCAACCATATAAGAGAAAAATACTTATTTTCCCCATCAAGTTGAAAAGTTCATATCATGTGGTCATTCATCCATACTTGATTCTGTGACTCTCTTGTTTTATTTTGGCAGTGGGACTTAACATGTGATGCAGGAGAATATCTGGTGGCCCTGAGCCAGAGTTTGTACTTTGTTGGGATCCTCCTTGGTGGACTTATCTTTGGATCCCTTGCTGATTGGTATGATGTCCAGCACTCAAATTGCAATGGGGAATGAGTTTGTTCACTAAGACTCTTTACTGTGCAGTATCCTAATGAGTTGCTATTGATCATGTCTGCATAAGGAGTTAGGAAAGCAAGAAATTCAACGGATTGGGAGATTGGAGCTTGTTTCCTTTTCCTGAGTCTTTAGTCTGCAAAAAGAACCAATTCTTCTATTATCATGCACTTGGATGAGTTTTCATTTTGCTCCTACTGCCATCATCAAGGTCATTTTTATTAACATGTTCTTTAAGAGAAATCACAGTCTCCTACATGAGTAGGAGTCCAGTCTGTTACCAGTCTATGATATACCCACCCCTCTGAAGGTGAAGGTTTTTAGAGAAATTGTGTCAATCACTTGCTTCAGTCCATACTGCCATATTGCTCCTTTTTATGTTGTCAAAAAGGGGATGTCACCTCTTCTTGCTTAACCCTTTCAGTGTCATCCCGAGTACGTACTCAGGATGTGCCTGCGTGTTTCCCTGCAAGATAACGATTCAGGTGGACACTGAAAGGGTTAAAAGCTCTCTACCAAAGGGGCAGCTTCTGCATCTCTGCCTACCATGCTCTACACATTCACTCTTCAACAAGTAAATCAGTGACTTCACAACATGAGGCTTACTTGATTCAAACTGGTTCCTCATTCTTCTGATAGCAATGAAATGAAAAAAATGTACCCCACCCATGTTATTGAAGCTCTCCCTGATCTTAGTCCTTGTATTAGATATTTCCTCAGTAACCTTCTTCCAGTGAAAAAGAGTCCTATTCAGTAAAATTCAGTTTCTATGGAAGTACCCATACCTACCTCATCTTGTAAGTAGCTTCCCTTTGAAGCAAGCTTTCAAAATATTCTTAATGAGGCCTCTGCTGTGTATACCAAAAGAATACTACATGAGCTCTTATTGACAATGAAAGGCTGGATAAAGACTAATATCCTATTATAGGTTTTCCAAGTAGAATGCAGACATTAGAAAGTCAAATGCAACTAGGAAATTCAAATGTGTTTCTGTGCTGTCAAGAGTCAAGGAGTCAAGAGCAACAAAAGATAATCAAATGTGTCACTATTCTGGATGTTGGACTTGAGAGAAAAGCATGTTAAGTGAAAAGATTGGGCAACTCCTGGCAGAGAGGAAAGAGCAAATCTTCTATCATGATTGAGCAGCTGAGTTGGGAATGTCCCTCCACTATATTACCTGTCTACTTCTTTCAGAGTTGGGATGTAAAGCTACAACCATCATCATTCCTGAAAAATGGAACCAATGGTTCAGCATGCACAATCCATCCCTATGCATTTGAAATTGAGTTGCAATATGGTTCAAATGACTGAGTGATTGCTTTCATGACAAAGGTTGCCAAATTTGACTATCCTTATGTTGGTTATACATATCTTGAAAGTCCAACATCCAGCAGGCCTGTCCTCATTTGATTATTATCCTTATGTTGCTCTTTACTCCCATGCAGGACTATGTTGAACTTGAAATTCCATGTGGTGTTTAATTCTCATGCTTCATTATTACTCTTGGAAAACTTGTGATCAATAGCTTTCATCTTTCATAATCAACCAAGTCAATATGATTAATTTCAGGAGTGATGTTATGTTCAAAAGCATTATTGCAAATGCATGAATGATTTTGCATTTGAAGTCATGCACAGAGAAAATAAAACTCTGTGGCAGTTGTTTGGCACAAGCATGAAATACAACTGTTGCATTTGATTTAAATTATGTCTATTATGTCATGCTTTTTTCTTCCAAAGTCCAACATCCAGCACAGTGATGCATATGATTTTCTTTGTCATATTTGACTTGGAAAGCATATAACTGTAACAATGTTGCTCGCATTTGCTTGGTGAATTTTGTTTCATAATTAGTGGGAATCCATAAAACCTCTTTCCAAGTTTGCCAAATGCATGCAAAATGCATGCAGAAACCCTTTTTTATTATTATAGCCAGTGTGAAGAATATCCTATTTTCTAATTTCATGAGCCATTTTAACTCCAAAACCTTTCAATGACTGAAAGAGGTAATGGCTTTACACCAAGGACAATATCTTGCAATATCTCTGTCAATCAGAATTGTTACAATTGTTATAGTCTATATTTACATTCAAGCAGCAAAAAATGTTTTGCATAGATATGTATCAAATTTAGCTTTAGCAAATCATAATTGGCCCAGGGGGGTAACTCTGTCACCCCCCTTGGTTGATTGTGGTTGTAAAATACTTTGGTCATGGGAGGGTTAAATCTCTCAAGACTCTCACCCTGTCCATTTGAAACAGGAACTCCTACCAGCGTGTGGGAAAATCAAGAAAATGTTCAAGGTCATATGGCAGGGATGGCCAAACCTCAGCTCATGAGCTGCATGCAGTTTCCATGCAGTTCAAGTTTCCTTATGATTTTGTTGTGCAGCTCATAAGGTCAAGAAGTTTGGCCACTCCTGTCATTTGGTGGAGTTGTACAAGGAAGACTTACTAGATGCATGAGATCTGGAGAAAGAGTTTGGCTTTGTTGGTGATGCCAGTTTCCTTTTCTTTTTTCCCTTCAAACCACTCAACTATTGTGCCATCAATGAGTGCTTGTCTTTGAAGTCATGTCACTGTCCTGAAAGTCCTTTTCAAAGTCAATGTGGGTTCTTTCCCCTACTTGATTGAACACTTGATTCATGTTGGGTACAGGTCTTAGTATGCATCAGGTTGCATATTATCTTGGCATGAATGTTTTGATACTTGAGTATGCAACCCATCCATGCCTTCCCACGAACAGATTCACCATTCCTGTGCAGTTGTCACATTCACACCAAGGCAATTTGTGACCTAAAATATCCTATGACCTGCTCCCATTATCCCAACTGAACAACTGTGATCAAACAGTTAATATCAAGCTGGCTATATTGTCTTAGGAGATGTAGTCTTGGCACAGCTTCAAAGCTAAGAACTCAACAATGGCAGTGTATTGAAGTTGCTCAAGGGAAAAAGAAAGGAAATTGACATCAGTATCTGTGGCAGTATGGCAGTAACTTCTGTTGTTTTTTTCATGATAGTACAGAACTCATTGATTTTCCTTCTCATCACAGCTTTTTCCAAAGTGCAAAGTGAAAAATAATAGATGGGTTAATAAAAATATTCCATAGTTTTTGAAATCGCTCATTGCAGTAGATATAAAAAACTCCAATGACCTATCGTGCCCCCCTGGGACCCTTTCATGCCCCCCAGTTTGAGAACCCCTGGGTTAGTCTCTTCATCATTATGATTTTTCAGTTGGCCTAGTTGATTGCATTGATGATTTTGTTTCTGGTTTTGAACTAATTGAATCTTAGACATCAAGCACTCTTTCTTGGGTTTCTTTCAGCAATGATCATCCTTTTTTTTTTATAGCAGTTAGTTTTGAATTTGTTCTTCAAGGAAGTATGATATGATGTCTTTCAGCTGCAGCAGTGAGGAACTGATGGAAACACATAAAGATGTAAAAGTTGTAAAGCACCTTATCCCAGACTTAGGTTGCTGCTGTCCCTCTCTATTCTCTATTACAGAGGCCAATGTTTCTTGCTGCATCCATTTCAGTAGTGGTTATAAGAGACATGTAAACTTGTTTTCTTCTCTGGAATGTTTAAAATGTCTGGTTGAATAGACTGAACATGGGTCTGAAATTAACACTAGGTATGGGCGGCGTATGGCTCTGATCCTGAGCATCATCCTCCTGGCAGTCTCAGGGATTCTGGGTGGGGCAGCAAGGCAGTTCCCACTCTTTGTCTTCCTTCGTGTCTTGACTGGGATGGGTAACCAAGGCATCTTCCTTTCCTCCTTCATCCTTGGTATGCACAATATTTGCATTGCTTGGTTCAGGTAGGGCTTGTGGTGGTGTCTTAGGAACCAAAAAGGAAGAAACTGCCAGTGTCCATTTTACCCTATCTCTACACCTGAAATGAATATGATTGCATCATTTTGCATTTCATTGATAACTGTTTTATATATAAAGTTCTTATAAAGAGTGCATTTTTTGGGTTCACATTAGTTAAGGAAATGTGTTTTGCAATGTTCGATGGAAGCTTTGAACCAGTCTTGATTCCAAGCTGCAAGCAACAGTGTAGGATAGGCAAAGCTTGTTTAAGCTGGATATGTCTCCCAGCTGGATATGAACCCTTATAGCTGAATATATATTATATAACCCTCGCTAGCCAGCCATTCCTCGACCTCCCATCTCACAGACCTAATTTCCCGCTTCAGTGTCCGCATGATCCTCCTATGTTCCTCATAGTCCATGCTATCTCCCGTGCGCTTGTACACATCCCATTTCCACTTTTTATCCCTGATGAGAGCTTTGATTTTTACCCGTAAACCAGACCGGTTGCCTGCCCGATTTTATGGATTTCTTGGGGATGCATTCCTCCATAAAGCCCTGCAATAACGTCTTGAACCCCCCCATTGCTCCTTTACCGTCAGCTCACGGAACCACACCTCCCAGTCGATGCCTGAAACTCATTTGCGTAGTCTCTCAAAATTAGCCTTCTTATAGTTGTACGAAACCTTCCTTGGTTTGGCGTTACTCTTCGTCTGCTTGATATTCCACGTGATCGCGCAGTGGTCCGAATCTCCCAAGTTATCTTGTACCTTAACGTCTTGTACCTTAACGTTCCTAACCCACAATTGACCCCGTGGACGTTTTCATTTTTCTAGTCGATGTCTATTCGATGGCATCCATGACGTCAGAAGCCACGATGGGCAAATTTTGTCCCAGGAGAAAGAAACATCCTTGGATGCTAAGGAATCAGTGTAATGAATTTCAGTGCTTTATATTCAGCGGTTTCGATACTAGAGCACTACGAGACGAACGCATGTACGACGAAGTGCGATTTTCTGTGGTTGTCGATGGATGTTTTATGTTGAACCTTCGTTCGGTTACCTCACCTCGTTTTGAATGAGACACCAGAGAGAGAAATTTCATGGGGTTTCAATCCTCCCGAGATCTCATGCCTGTAAACAAGGGAGGGATTAAAAGTTACAGGGATTTCAGTTCGCACCCTTCCCTCGAAAAGTGCATACGGAAGAGGGGGAAGGGGGGAATACTGCTTCCCCTATGATCACAACAAACATCTTTCCGCAAGAGATTTGCTCCCTTCTCCCTCCCACTTACCCCTCTATCTCCTTCCCCACTCCCACCTACTTCATAAGTCGTAAGTTAGTGACTGATTTCTGAATGGTCTCGATAAACTCCATCATAGAAAATAGAGAAATAGGAGCGATGCTCAAAAGATCGACAGGAATGGATGCCTATATTAACCGACCGCTGTACTAACCGAGACATTGGCATCTTCCAAAAACACCATATTTCCACCTCCATGACCTGTGATAAACGATGCAAGATCGTTTCGAGATGGATCAAACGACCACACGCACAAGCGTCAATGGCGATGGACGAGCACTCGGCGCGAATTTAACGACGTGATGGAAAATTATCTCGAAGAAATATATGACGGAAATTGAAGAAAGAAATCTTTCTTGGGGGAGAGCGTTAGAGGAGGGGGCAGATAACATGAGATTCATGAGCCGAAGGAGAGAGGAGGGGGAACTCACAAATGGGAATTGGTTCAACAAGAAAAAAAAGTCCATCAAATTCAAACCTCCATTACCTTTAATATGTCATGGGCCTTGACGGAAGCTCTGTCTGTCACATTGATAAATTATGCCTCAATGAATCAGACGAGGTCACCCTTACACCGCCTTCCACCCTCGCCCCTTTAGGTCCGTCACCGTTTACAAACGTCAAGCTAATAAATAATTTAGTTTCTGATGGCTATTGTGAATAAATGACCCAGTTATAACTGTGATTGATTTAGAACAATAATCATTGCACTTTTTTTTGCAGCAGAGACCCATTTTGTCCGGATACGGGACGAACGCTTCCGCCGGTCCCTCCTCGAAATGCAAGTCGAGTTGCGCCACTGAATATATCCTTTGGATTTCCGACAGCCATTGCGTCGGATCGATGGCAGGAGATGCGTGACGTCGTGAGAGACCTTCAATTTCCCCTTGTGTCAATTTTGGACGAATTCCTTCCGTATCCTTGAAACGAGACGCCTCGCTCGAACACCCGAGTGCATGGGTTGAAAAATGAAGGCCTTCCCTCTCTATCGGAGACCGAGGGCACCGTGGCAGGCCGGTAGCAGTTCTCGACCTCCCATAGTACATCCATGCGTTCGGTGGGTCGCGGCCCACCGGTCGAGAACCACTTCTCGAAGGAATCCGGACCCGGCCGATCCAAGTCCATTCATTGACTATCAGATAGGCTCGAGTGGCTCACGCGCCTAGCGGCCGAGGAGAGAGCGCAGTCACTGGAGGCACGTGAATGTGCGTGTAGTGATGTCACAGCTGGGATATGATTCGCCTTTAGCTCGCTTCGATAGGGTGTGGACTTACTTTGGGAATATCGCTGTTTTCATGATTCAACTGTTGGCGATTGTTTTCAGTATGTGTGAACAGGTCAAAAGCTAGGTTTGCATCCTTTCCCGAGTCAGATGATTGCGAATCAGTTTCACAAGGTGAGGAGCATTCGCAAAGAAAAAAATGGGCTGAGCTGGATCGCAGGGGTGCCAGCAATAGCTCTCCTCTTGTGAAATGCGGAGTTGCTTCCACAATGGCATGTTTTGGCCTCACATATCAGACATTGGCGACAACGTGAAAGCCTGCCACATGTACCGCTTTAACTATTGAAACCCACAACTCTTTGTTCATCTTGGCGACAAAGTCATAAAATATAGGCTGTTTCCAAGATGAAACCAAGCCCCGTACCATTGCAACCATCATTTGATTGCATGGTCCATATAATGTCTCACATGGTGCGTCATAACTGAGTTTAGAGTCAATTTTAATTTAATCAAAACTCAGGACGCATAGCTTCTCAAAATAATCCATGACGTGTCCCTGATACGTCAAAAGATTGAGGACTTCATGCTGAAGTTCTGGAACACATTTTATTAATTTTCCGAACCACTTGGCCAAGGTTGATAGGCCAGGAAGTGGAATTTTCAGTTGTTCTCGAACATAAGTGAATGCTTTGGGGGGACGAGTCCTGAGAACACAAAGCCTTCACCAATTCGCCGTGACCCCTATGTTTTGGCCTCCCTTGAGAACATGTAATTGTGCTGAAGAAAAATGTCGTTCCATCAATTTTGCATGAGCGCTTCTTTCTTTCGTGATTTGGAGAACTCAGCAAGTTTTGTTCTTGAGACATTTCACATCCTTGAGTTTAAGATATTCTGACCCGACTCTTTGTAATTTTACTTTCAGACCAGATAGAATCCTGATTTTTAATATCAATTTCTCTCTGATTTCAGGGCAACATTTCGATGGAATTAAGAGATTTGTCATTTCAGATATCTCCTCACTCTGTCTCATCGAAACCTCAATTTGCACTTGATCTTGATCAAGGTGTGGAGGTTCAGTAAGACAAAGTGGAACAGCCGAATTTTTTAGAAGCTTATTCTTATTCTTAGTCACTAGGAAGAAAGTGATTGGAGCAAACAAGCTCCTTGTTCCATCCTGCAAGTCCATTCGGCCTCAAGCTGATCACCTTTTCTCCTTGGCTACGTCATCCCGTGATACTAGGTGGAAGGTGGTGGGCGGATCATGATGACGTGAATTTCTCCATGTATTTCTACAGGCGGGTACAATGCAGGATTGTCAGCTACTTTTACCCATTTTTATTTTGTTGCATTTTGAGAGCAGTCGATTAGAATGTCAACACGACGAAGGAAAAGCTGCGAAGAAAGGGAAAGAATGGCCTAAACTGAAAGAGAATCATAGATATAGCCTCGGGTCAGCAGCGCAGTCAGAGACAAGAAACAGTGCAAAAGCCAGACGTAGCTGCCTCGGCGAGGGCTCAAAAGAGAATGAGTGGAATAGACGCAGTCACGGCCTTTTATAGCGCAGTCACTTTAACTGCAGGTGAAAAAAGCCTCCACGCACCTAGCCACTCTGGAGGGCCTTGTGGCCAATCGGCCCGATCCACCGGTCGGGTCCGGGAACATCACCCCTACAGGTCTCTGACGAGCAGGAACATAAACAGATAGGAACTCACGAAAAAAAAGGGTGTTACTGTTCTGCCTGCAAAACGTACAATCGCCAAGTGCGAGCGTGTTTTACGGTCTGGCGAGTGGAAAGAAAACAAACAATTCCCCTCAATCGACGCAGAAACTTCTACAAGCATACCTAAGTAATTCACCTTTCTGTTGACTCCTAAGGGGAGACAACTGCTCTTAAACTCAAAGGCCCCTATATCTCACCTAAATGAGGTTTCAGCATCCGGGTCTAAGCGTTTCCGTCGACTTAGCATGTGTGTATTTTGCGAGGCCACTCGGCTATATTTGGCTAATAGTAGAGAGAGGGGTAGGGGGGCGAAGGGGACAATTTTACCCCACGCTCGAACCCTATCGCCGGTTAACACACTATCGTTCGGTAGCGTTGCGTTCTTTAGTAATGAAGAGTTGATTGAATGCGTTCAAAACGGGGAGGGAGGAATGGAAAAGGGTCCCTCGTATAGATATTTGACTCGGGCCCCGCAAATCCTTTCGGCGGCCCTGGCTATAACAACAGCAAGATGCGAAAAAAAAACATTGTCCCTCGCACGAAGGAGTGGAGGATGACGAACTGCTTCCTCATTCTTCTCATTGATTAACGGAAGAGTTCCTCACCTCGTGTCATCAGAGATGGGGAACATTCTAGCCACCGGCCTAATGAGGTTCCATCCCTTACAAAAACATTTTACCTGAGGTAAAAAAAAAAGGGGGGGAATTTTCCCGTTTTCTTTTTACCTCAGTTTCACCGTCCCAATTTTACCGCCACCCCCTCAATAACCGCAGTTTTACCTGTATTTTACCTCAGTTTTACAGTTCCCCTCTTATCACCTGTATCTTACCTACATTTTAAA